ACTGTTTCATAGCAATATGACGTCAATCCTCCAGCCTACCGTTATATACAGACTGTCATTAAAGCAGCATCCACAGAGACATGTCCATTATTTGTCTTAAATACAGTATTCTCTATACATATTTATTTTACCTTTACAAGGCTAAAAATTGTAGGAACACAAAGATAAATTTCTTTCACTATTTACAAAGGCTATAAATAAAACTTACAAAAACTTATAAATGACTAATGATTCTGGAAGAAGTCTGTGTTACTTCTCATGGCAGTTTGTGATGTTAATTTGGAGCTGAGATAAGTTTCTGATGTTCCGTCTGTCTCTCTGTGTGTGTGTGTGTGTGTGTGTTGATAATGTGTGTGTCGTGGTTCTACTCAACAGTAAACACTAAACGTCATGCTGGATGCCCTGCTGCTGGTTGCAGTTGTTGGATGCCATGACAGTGTTAGCATGTAGCATGTTCACACAAAATCAGTAACGTTACAGTTCGCAGTTAAAACAATTTTTTACCTTTTTTGTAACTCTATAAAACCTAATGTCAACAAAATCTTCAATCTACAAGAATATTAATCATTATTCCAACCTGGTAGCATTCACATCGGTCCAGTGGTTTCTTCGGCTAGAGTGGGTTATTTTGGTGAATGAATCTGTGGTTGAAATGAATTGTGAGAGTCGATTCATTGACCTGTTCATAAATGCAACCGTTGCTTTGTTACTGAATAAATGTCTTATTCACTTAAAACAGGGCTTTACTGCCACCTACTGGCGGGCTCAGTTAATGCATGGATAACTTAATTTTGACTATAGTTGTATATTTTTCTTAATACTTTATTCTAAACATTATTCATGTAAAAAAAGAAGAATTCATAAAGGTAAAGAATTCACAGAAAATGTTTATTTAAATTGCAAATATTGTGCTTAAATGAAGAGACTGCAGTCTGAGCGGAAAAGAGAATGGAGAAGGATGTTAGGAGTATTTCACTCTAAACAGTTAGGAACCACTGATATACAGTCTAGATAATAGGTCATACCCATGATATCAAAAATGAGCTCAGATTCAATGCAAAAGTAGTGTAACATTACAATAGAGACAGAAATATTGCAATACTGTAAACAATTACTTTCAAATGACAGAAACTAATTAAATATTAAGTGCTATATTTTGAAAGAAATTTGCAAATGAAAGCAAAACCCAGGATGGCAATAAATAAATGGCTGTAAGTAACTGTCAGCTCTTATCTATGGTTTTCTAATGTTGTCACTAATGTTAATTGAGAAGAAACAGTTTTAGATAAAAAAATTTACAAATCCAGTTACATACAAACATTACTAAATTAGTTCATTTAAATTAAAAACATAATGAGTCACTAAATACCACACATCCTTTAAAACTATTATTAAAATGAGAAATTACATCGTGAAAGACTTATTTTATCTTTGCTATAATCACAGTAAATAATATTTGACTGGACATTTTTCAAGACACTTCTAAACAGCTTAAAATGACATTTAAAGGCTTAACTAGGTTAGTTAGGGTAACAAAGCAGGTTAGGGTAATTAGGCAAGTTATTGTATAATGATGGTTTGTTCTGTAGACCATTGGAAAAAAATAGCTTAAATGGGCTAATATTATGACGTTAAAATGTTTTTTTTTTTTATAAAAACTGCTTTTATTCTAGCCAAAACAAATAAGACTTAATAATAAGTAATATTTATACTATACTCAATAAATAATAAAACTGCAGAAGAAAAATATCAGACATACTGTGAAAATTTCATTGCTCTCTTAAATGTAATTTTGGAAATATTTAATAGAGAAAAAATTAAAAGGTTTGCCAGAGGTGGCTTGCAGCTGGAAGAGCATCTGCTGTGTAAAACATATGCTGGAAAAGTTGGCGGTTCATTCTGCTGTGTCGACTAAGATTAATAATGGGACTAAACTGAAAAGAAAAAGGGGGGATAATAATTCTGACAGTGTGTGTGTGTGTGTATAACGTGGATGTGTGGGCACTTTAAGGCAAATTAGCCAGTCAGTCTAGCGCGGCCCTGCATTAGTTGTTTGAGTTATTGTGTTTTAAAAAGTCCCCGCGTGTTTTGAAAATGTTCTTTCGCGTTCCAAATGGAACCACGTAACTCTGACATCATCAGTGGCTAATTAAAGCTGACTGAATCAAGCAGAAACCCTCATTGCTTCTTTCGACGACTAGTAGTTCAGTATTTACTGCGATTCCACACAACGGTGATAAAATGGCCTTTTCAAAGTTAATTTCCCGTTTAAAGAAAGCGTTCGGTATCAAGTGTGCACACGAACCACCCCGTGAGCCGCTTAAATCCACCGGCAACACGGCAGAAAACCACCGTCATCCGATACCCGATGACCCGCCCCTCTTCCAAGCCTGTTTCCCCAGAAGAGCTACTGTTGATGGTAAATTAGGTTTATGAATTTTAATTACTAAAACAATGCTAAAACACACCGAACATGTCAGAGTAGCTGTTTAAAGATAAGAAATAAAATTGACTAGAAACATTTAAGAATTTTAGGTAATTTCTTAAAAGGGACAGTTCACATAAACGTGAATAGTCTGTCATAATTCACTCCTAAAACCTGTTTCAGGTGCTTTCTTGTGTTGAACACAAATACTGAATTCAGCCATTGACTTCCAGTATTTTGAGTTCCTACAGTGAAGTTTAATGGCTGCTGATTTCAGGAATATTCTTCAGAATAGGTCTATTTTTGTGTTTAAAAGAAGAAATTCATAATTAATTGTATTTATGCCTTTAGATATATAGTTTAAACATACTTTTTTATTGCTAATTATCACTTCAATACAGAAAAACTGCAAGATTATAATAAAATACATTGAGTGATGTCTTTGCAAATTAACTTCAAATATCTAGTCAAAAGAGTTACAGAATCATATTAATGATATTCCTTCCCCTCTTTAGATCCGCTCCCTGCACTGGAGATCCATGACCTACAGGACGAGCCGATCAGTAGCTCGAAATTCTTTCACACTGCTGTGAACAATCTGGAGCTGGAGGTTCTCCAACCTTCAATTCCTGATGCTCCAGCAGAAGAAGACTTGGACTCCACTGTGAAATCTGAAGTGAACAGCTTTGAATCTCCAGTGAGCCAGCAGTTCTCAACAGATGGCATCTTTGAAGCGTTCAGCGGAGACTCTGTGCAGGTTGACATTGACTCTGCACTGGATGAAGACTCGGAGTCTTCACTGAACCAGAAGGTCTCACAAGATGACTCCGCTGATGATTCTGCTCTGAGTCTTACAGCAGATGATGAGACCTGTTTGGACAATAGTAAGTTTATTGCTAGAATTCATAACATTTGTTTAGGCTTATCAAACATTTTAAAATTATACAGTTGAAGTCGAAATTATTCGCCCTCCTGTGATTTTATTCCATTTTCAAATATTTCCCAAATTATTTTTAACAGAGTAAAGAAGTTTTCACTTCCTTCATTTCCTATAATATTTTTTCTTATGGAGAAAGTCTTATTTGTTGTAAACTCTTTTATTTGGTTTATAATTTAATAAGATTTTGTGTCCAGTCAGCTAAATGTTCTTCTTTTTTAACAGATGACATCAGCTCCCGCTACAATCTGGGAAAGCAGCTCGGTGAAGGAGGTTTCGGCTCTGTTTTTGAGGGGATCCGCATACAGGATGGTCTGCAGGTATTCATTTCTGTAGACTCAAATTCTTTGATGAAGTTCACTATTTAAAGAACATCATCAGAAACATGCTTTCATTGTTTTGACATTTCTGAGAATTCAAATTGATGAAACCTCTGTTCAGGATTTGAATGAAATGATCTGGATGCACATGTTAATTGTTCGCTTATTTCTTTAAACAGGTGGCTGTTAAATTTGCCCAGATGACACCACGTATGCGAGATCTCTGCTCTGTAAGTATACTACACTTTCTGTTTTTCTCTTCTCAGTCACTGTGTTCAACTCAAAATGTCTTATATTTAATATTAGACAACAGGCTGTGGTTAAAAATCCTTGTTTGAAAACCAACATCATTATTTTGTTTTCAGTCTCATGACCAGCCACCTCTAGAGATCACCTTGGCAAGTATGGCCAGCAGTGGCTCCAGGTGTGCCAATATAATTCAGCTCCTTGACTGGCAGGTCTTCAAAGACCATTATGTCATGGTCATGGAGCGGCCTACGCCAAGTATGGACCTGGAGGCATTTCTGCAACTCAAGGGAGGCGTCCTCACCGAGCAAACGGCACAAACTATCATGGGCCAAGCTGTTCATGCTGCCAATGTTTGCTGCTACCGGGAAGTATTCCACAGAGACATTAAGCTGCAAAACCTGCTTGTAAACCCAAACACTCTGGAGGTCAAGCTGATTGACTTTGGCTGCGGAGATTACATGATAGAATCAGCATACTCCACCTTTTCTGGTAGGTGTTTTGAATAGGGTTGTCAAAAGTATCGACTTTGGGACTGACATTTTAAAAATGTCCAATTGAACGCTGTTAAACACCACTGATTGGCCATTTGTGTTCACATGCTCAGCAAATATGACTGTGATGAGTGTCAGTATCGATACTTTTGACAACACTAGTTATGAATGTACATAAGCATTATTAATATACGGTTTGAAAGCTCAGTAATTAGCACACCTGAAACCCATCTGGTATATATATCAACATGATGCTGACACAGAGATTTAACTAAATGTCTCTCCTCCAGGCACAGAAGCGTACATGCCGCCAGAGTTTTACAAAAGAGGATGTTACCATGCCAAACCAGCGACTGTCTATTCTCTTGGGGTTCTTCTCTTCACATTGCTGCATGGAGATTTCCCAACGACGTATGACCTGTACTACCTGGAGCATGACTGGTCCAAATTTACCCTCTCTCAAGGTGAGATATTCATCAAAGAACAAGTTAAAAAACAGTTTACTAATAATAATAATAATAATAATAATAATAATAATAATAATCTCACCTCTCCTTTTGTTTTTCACAGAATGCTGTGATCTGATGTGGGCTTGTCTGCAGCAGATTCCAGAGCACAGAATTCTTCTAGGACAGATGCCTTACCACGACTGGTTCATGCTGGAGTAGCCAGTTGACACCTTTGCTGTTAATATATAGTGTCTTGTTATTGTATTATTCACTTCTTTATTGTTACAGTTGTTTTTGTGTATGTCTCTAATAAAAATATATATTTTTGAACTCACTTGTGATGTGGCTTATATTGTGATCTAGTCCCAGTGACAAAAATCTGGCATGAGGTTTGAACAGCATCCAGTCATTTATAACACACACTGCAGTTGCCACTGGCGTCATTAAGGCGCACTTTTAGAACTACACTTTTAAAGAATACAGTCCAGCGCTGACCCAAAGCCTAAACATATCAGTCACTGCGACATCAGCAAATCATCCATATAAAATTCCAATATTTTACTGTGAATTCAGAACTGTTTTTAGAAATGTTTTAAAATACAAACATCGTAACATGAGAATGTGACATTCAGATGAGTTTGTGAAAAAGGCCGAAAAATGCTGTACTATTTATGTCAGGCCAGTAGTTGGCAATTTCTCTTTATAAAATACACTATGTGCCTGCAAACATATGATGTTTATAGTTTTGTTGTATTGTTAAGTAATCTGTAATCTACACTTACATGCCATGTAATCTACAAAGAAAACATTTTAATTTAAATCTGTAGCATTTTCAAAAACTTGGTCTTTAAAACCAATTTTCAAAGGTTTGTTTTCAGGCCTCTCAAAATGTTTAACAAAACAAAACAATAAAAGTTTCTGATTTAGTTAAGACATACATCATGCATTGGTTTTACTGTTAATGTTAAGTAAACACAAACAGTTCAAGTATTTATAAGCAATCATGTTACATTTGAATTACAGTAATTACAACATGAACAAAGTAAACAAGTGTGCTAGTATTGGCTCTGAACTCAACCTGTTGTTCCTGTAGAAACATCCCATCATGTTCATACTGAATGTGAGTGATTTGCCAGTCCCCCATCTGCAATTCAAAGTCAGGGTTTTAGTCATGATGATGAAAAAGCATCCAACAGACCATAAAAAGCTAAAAATGCTTCTTGGGTTGCAGTTACAGATCAGATGAGCCATCAGTGAACTGTTCATTAAAAACCATGAGGAGTTCTGGACTCTTGGGTTATGAATGATGTAAAGCACAAAGACTAACCTGAATGTGTTTCCCATGATACCAGCACATACTCTCTTGGGAGCAAATGCTGAACTCCATCCTGAGAGATGATATACTGGACCTGAGAAAAGGGAGTGGAAGAGGCAGTAAATTTAATTTTGCCATTTAACACAAGGAAATATGAGGCTTAAGGCGCTTACTGGTGTTATTTTCAAGAGTCAAAACTATAAGTGTGATTTAGCTTTAGTTTTTTATCATATATTAAAATATGTCCTGTATACTTCATCCCTAATCAAACATACACTGCAAAACTTTCTTCTTGGTCTCTAAGTAATTAAAAGATTGGGAAAAAACAAAACAAAGTAAAGTGGTTGGGAGTAAGATTCATTAAAACTATATATTGTTTTGGATGTTACTTTTGTGTATTTATTCTCCTCACCCTTCTCTCTCAGCTTCTCACTCCACTCTTAGTTTTCTTATAGGTTCAGTTAACCGTCCATCATTATTATGATGGTGCCAGATCAACCAATCCCTGGATGAGTCGCGGAGATTTAAAGCTGCTAAAGATCAGTGTTTGGTGTGCGCTCTGCCTCGGCATACCTTTGGGTGCCCCGCTGTTGCATTTTCTGTCATGCTTAGGCTATTAGATGATTTATTATTTTTATTATTATTTGTTATTTACTGTGGTAATTCGAGTTTACTTGTTAAACTTTGCTGGGTTTGAGTAAAGGCTTTGATGGTTGTTGTGTGATTCTAAACTGAACCTTATGACCTTCTTGTAAGGTTTGTTTTAGTTTAGATTGATTTTTTTAGGATTAGTTTGAGTTTCGCCCCCTGTGTAGTTTTGAGTTTGTAGTTTAATTAGTTTACATCGGGTGTCGTGACTGAAGATATAGATTTTATTTTCATTATTTATTTTTGTCGCCTAGTTTAGACATTAGATTTAAGGATTGTTTTGTTTTGTTAATTTCTTTAATTTGGCTTATCATTGTTGTTTTCGTTTAAAGACAATATTGTAAATGTTTATTTCTTTTTCTACTATTATTGTTACATCTTTTGCTTAAACCATTGAGTAAAATGCTTAAATTCTGAATCAATTCCTGCCTCATCCTTAATCTGTCGCACACATTACATGTGTCTCACCTTAATGTTACAGCATTCCTTTTAAACATCATAAACTCACAACAACAAGAAAAAAATATAGTCTTGTTTTCACAAAAAGATGTCAACATTAAGGCAGCTTTTCATTAAAACAAAATATGAAAGTGCAAAAGCAAAATAAGCTTGTTTTTATATTATTTTGCGTGTTTTTAGGAGAAAATCACTTAATCCTAACTTTTTTGTAGACTGTCAAACTTTTTACAATGATTATGAGAAGACACAAACTAAAATATAATTCAGTGTAACAACAGATAATAGACCTAAGAATCTTATCAGACATATTTAAAACAAGAATCATTAGATAACATGTTCGTAAACTCTATTTTAATATCATAGTTTAGCATCAAAATACTAATAAATTATTATTTGAAATTTTTATACTTTCCACTATTCTTCAAACTACTAAATTTTGCTACTTTGTCTGCAAAAGTGTTTAAACAAAAAGGTTTAAAACCTTAAAACTAGGGCAGGAAAAAAAATCACTTATTATTTTATATATTTTACTAAATGTAGTTCAAATGAAAAATCTGTTCAAAACCAAACTGTTAAATGTGTGTTTACTGTTTATTTGAAAACAGCTTTAATAAATGAGTCTTACCTCAGTGACCTGGTTGTCTCCAGTCATTAAGTGCTGTACGGTCTGTCCATCTACTGTTGTGATCTGCTGAATATATGCTGCCTCCTCCTAAGAAACTTTTTTTCAAAAACATGCCTTTAAAACCTGAATTTATATTACATTTATACATTTACCACTTTATAAAATCTAAACCACCTTGCATTAGATACAATCTCAAATGTAAAGCTCTTCTTTGTGATTTTTCATAACCAACCAACATTAATTACAGGCTGTGAATGAGAAAGTGTGTAGCTGTGCAGTACCTGGTCAGAAAGACTTTGATCCAGAGCCACAATGATGTGTTCCTGACCCAACGCTTGCTGTAACCTCTCTGGGCTGATGACCGTTTGACCCGCCTGCAAATCTATAAATCACAAAAGAAGAAATATAATGAAACAAAGTAACAAGATGTGTCTAATAAACAGACCAGGGCTGTGTGACTACCGTAATAGAGTGGAGGAACTATGACGTCACCTTGTAGGCCAATCGGCTGCTAGCATAAAACTGGTTCCTTCAATAAAATCCCCATAAGATTTTCCCATAGACTTCTCGAAGATTGCAAATAATTAGCTCTGTGTTCAAACACAGTTCATTACACTTACACGTTTTGTCCAACAGGATAATCCTCACACAACATTTATACAGACCTACAGTACATGCCTTTTGGATAGTTTCTCAATGAGAAATACATTTGTTTTGCTTTACAGTTGGTGTATACGTTTTCAAACATGTACTGTACTGTTTTAGAAATGTGCCTATATATTCTAATCATAACACATGTTTAAATAAGTGTATTGCCTGCGTGCACATAGCCCATTAACCGTAGTGAAAACCTAGCTATGACTGTCAATTACAAATCCCATATTCTTTTTCATAGACGACAGAAATGAGGTCTATCAAAAAGTCTATTAAACCGCTGCAAATGTGGTCATGGATAGAGAACATCAATATTCTTTTTTGTTATGAAGTACTGAGAAAAGCAGCCCATACAGTCACATATGATATACGTTCTAAGGTGAGTATAATTGAGTTTCAGGAGGAGTGTAAATATTGCATTTATAATTAAACATTTGTTCAGATGAAGAAAAAAGACAAAAAATCATTAGATCACGAATATTTATATATATTTTACAAATTTATTCACAACTTTGCATTACTGAAAGCAGGGAAGAGACAGTGTCCTATGGTAAGCAGAATCTTCATTAAATAGCTTTATTTAAATAAATGATACTCTAACCCTGATGAAAGAAATGAATCTGTCATAATGGTCATTATCTTCACTCAATATGAAGGCCCAATAAGAAAAAAAAAAACAACCTATATAAAATATGATTTATGAAAACACTTTCACCAAATAACAGACAAATCCAAATGTCCAACACAAGCTGTAAATTTAAAGCGGGTTGCATTCCAGACCAGTTCAGCTCGAAGACGTATAATGTCTCTGATAAAAACAAATAAAATCAAAAGTGGGATGTATCTGATGTGTTTTGTGTTGTAAAATAAAGTGTGAAAGTATCTTGAGTTTGTGGTAGCAACAAACCTTATTTAAGCGATTTAACCAAAACCACATTTTAAAAAACCCATTGACTTTGGGACAAGGGAACCGGAACTCGCTTCAGAATTTTTGCATAAAAATTGACGTCATAGTTCCTCCACTCAATTATATTCATTCCAGCACTTACTCTGCAGTGTGGCTAAAGCTTCTTCATCGCTGTTGATGATGATGGTCTGCCGTGAGGGGACGGAGCGAGCTTTCCGGGGAGACGGCTCCTAAGTGTGAAGCCTCTCCATGTGGAACTTCAGATGTCCGTTACGGTTGAACCTAAAAATAATTTATGAGAGTTTCAATATGAGGGGCAATGTGTTTCTTTGTTTAATTTGGGGAAACATTTATGATTGTGTCTGTATTAATAATGTAAACAGTACAAATTCTAAGATTTGCTAATTTATTTGAATGATTCTTTCTCAGTTGCTCACCTTTGGCCGCACACCTGGCAGGAGTAAGGCTTCTCGTTGGTGTGTGTCATCATGTGGCGTCGCAGGTCTTTCATGTTTTTAGAGGCAAAACTGCAGCTGGTGCATTTATGAGGCCTCAAATATGCATGCAAGGCCATGTGAGTCTAGGATAAAAATATACATATACACATTTATATTTATTATACACAGGCAGAGACTTTAATACAAAGCTACTTCACCTACACTTACGTTTGTCAGTCTGTGCGCTTTTTTAAACACAATGTTATATTAAAGTTCCTTCATTTTGTTTTGCAAGTCAAATGATTTACACCCATTTGCAACAGATTCTGAATCTTTTCTCAGAGTGTCTGAAACAAATAATTTAAGGATCCTGTCTCTATAGCTACATTCAGAGAGGGTATTATTTTCTGAAATCTGAAAAATCTTTTCCTCATAGGGATAGATATGCAAATAATAAGTTACATAATAAGTTACATATCAATATAAATGCGGGGCGAGGCGATGGATCCCGATGCCAGCTCAGCACCGTGAAATTTGTCGGCCATCTGCGATGGAAGATGGCATCGTCTATCGGCACAACCCCAGCGTCTGGGGTCGAAGAGTGTTTCACTCTTCGAAAGTCTCAGTTATTATAAATGAGTTCTTCCTGTGTTGCGTCGTGAAGTGGCACAAAAGGGCTTTTCACCTGGGTAAAGACAAACAGACATGATCAGAAAACATTCCACCAATTTAACTAAGGCATAATTGTTGACAGGCATTGAATTGTTAGAAAAGTACTGCAACTTCAATAGATCAGAGTCATTTATCCCACTTGTACTACAGTTACCACACCTAAAGCCTATAGTTTTACTGTGATGAGATTTCTGCCATTTGTGGTCTATGAAACAATTGAAATCATTCAGCATAGTGCCTGCCTGGAACTTCTTTAGCTGTTTGCTTCCATAAAAATTAATTGCAGACCTCAAAATGTTCATTAGCCAATCAGAATCAAATATTGAACAGCCCTGTTTCATTATTGGTAATGAAAAATTGCAAACTCGATTGAGCAAATAATACATTCTCATGCATATCTTGTCAGGGAGGCATGGTGTGATCTATAGTAAATCTCTGCCAAAAGCCAGAGGGCGCTCTCACAGAAACCCCAAATGCCCATAAAGAAACCCAGGAAATACCACTAGCGCTTGTTGAATAAACAGAATATTGTACTATTTTGAATTCTCTGAAGCTACAGAAATTTAACATGCAAAACATGAAATAGGTTAGGACCTTAAATAGGTTGTTTACATACCTTTAAATCAGTGTTTCTCAACCACGTTCCTGGAGGACCACCAACACTGCATGTTTTGGATGTCTAATTTGTCACA